AACAACTTTAAGGTTTTGTGGCACGTGTTTTGTTTTTTTCTCCATTCCCTTTTCGTTTTAATAATAAAGAAAAATGTTACTGTTAGTGTTGACAGGTGAGCAACAAAACGCCGTCGTTTAAGACTAGTTGAGTTTCCTTTTTCGTTCTACTTTAATTAGAAAGATTCAACTACATGAGAGAATTGTGTGTATAACTTTTGCATTTGGATCCTTCCATGAGATTATACATTGATGATTCTAATCATGTTTTTGAACTCATTATCACAAGTCAATAAGACCTTAAGAGAATTTATGAAGTATGTGTGATTGTGTTCTTGACACAGACTCACAGTAATGTTTCATTGAGTCTTACAATCCAGTTGATTTTTTTTTTTTTTAATTCATAGACACACGGTGTTCGAGCTGGGCAACAAAGTGCGAAGAAGGCTATTGGTTTCATAGAGGTATATACTCAAACTCATGTTAATGTAGAGGATTGGTTTGTTCTCATTGTAAACTCTTGTGGTTTTTTTTTGTTTTGAATATAACCACAGGCGATTATGCTTATTGGAAAAGAAGAAGGTGTTAAAGGTTATTGGAAAGGAAACCTACCTCAGGTACTCATTAATTTATGGAAAGGTGTTTAATTTAGTAGAGTTTGATTGCTCATAATCTTAGCCTGAATTCCAGGTGATAAGGATCATACCTTATAGCGCGGTCCAGTTGTTTGCATATGAATCATACAAGGTATATAATCTTTGTATATCTGATTCTGGTTTTCAATTCCAAAGTTTCAGAAACCGTATAATCACTGTTTTTTTTTTTTTTTCTCTCTCCACCTTTTGCTGTTTTTTAGAAACTCTTTAGAGGAGAAGACGGTCAATTGTCAGTTCTCGGAAGGCTCGGTGCTGGTGCTTGTGCTGGCATGACGTCTACGCTGGTAAGTAATGTTGTTAATAGGCCTAAGTGAGTTTGTCTATCTTAAAAAATCCTTAAGACTCTATTTACTTAATGCAGATTACATACCCTTTAGATGTGCTGAGATTGAGGTTAGCTGTTGAACCAGGGTATCGAACCATGTCCCAGGTATGTTCATCGCAGTAAACACCAACTTTACGTTAAGTTCAACAAAATTTGAATACAAACATGTCTCATCTAGGTTGCCTTGAACATGCTGCGGGAGGAAGGACTTGCATCATTCTATAACGGTCTCGGTCCTTCGCTTTTAAGTATAGCTCCTTACATTGCCCTCAACTTCTGCGTCTTTGATCTGTAAGTCTAATTAACAGTTAAACATTACCCCTGAAAATGTTTTAGCCGATTGTTTACACTTCTTGATATTATATATCCGCAGGGTAAAGAAATCTTTGCCAGAGAAGTATCAAAAAAAGACACAGTCGTCGTTGTTAACAGCAATTGTTGCTGCTGCTATTGCTACCGGTACTTGCTATCCGTTAGATACCATTAGAAGACAGATGCAATTGAAGGGTACTCCATATAAAACCGTATTAGATGCTTTCTCAGGTAAAAATTACCCTTTCTCGTCAAAACTCAAGATGAATAATTTCTCGTGACCAACCGGTTTATTCTTAACTGTTGTACAGGTATCATTGAGCGTGAAGGAGTTATCGGCTTGTACCGTGGATTTGTCCCCAATGCCCTCAAAAGTATGCCAAACAGCAGGTATTTCATACACACTTTGATAAACCAGCTTTCTCAGTTTCTTCTTGTTTCAGTATTAACAATTTGTAATCCTCTTCTTGTTGTTTTCAGCATTAAGCTAACAACATTCGACATCGTCAAGAAACTCATTGCAGCAAGTGATAAGGAATTCCAAAGAATCGCGGATGATAATCGCAAGAAAGCAAGTCCTAACACTGAAACAACCGACGAACAAACCTGAAGCCGCCGTATTAAAATCTCCAGAAGCTCTACTTTTTTGTGTGTTTTGTATTTTTGAATGTTTGTGGTAAATGTTCTTCAATTGAATCATGAAGCCCAGAGAGTGTAATGTCATCAGTTTATCGGTAATAAATGTCTGTTTGTGTCCGGCTCAACATTACGTTTAGACTAT